CTTCAATGAGATATTGTTCCTGACTCCCATGAATGTTCTAAATAGTTATGTTGGTATCATATGTTTTTCCTATACAAAAATAAATGATGCTCTAACTCGCAAAATTTGTGCGATATCTTTTCAAAATCTTCAAGACTTACATAACTGTTGCATTAGAATTTTCATTCTCATAATAAAATTTTCTAACTGCAAAACATTTGTTTGATATCAAGGAAACTCACATATAAGCACCAGTGATGAGTTTATTCTTTTAAGGCTTGAAACTATGTTGAGTAATTGGCAGATCATTTCAAGAAAAAATCATATGCAGGGGCATGTCACCTGAATACCTTAAGCGCGGACATGTTGCTTCTCCTAATTAGTGCTTTCCCAACTTGTTTACTCTTTTGGGGCAAAATTTGAAGACTTTGTTGTGCCAACTACAGTTAATCCGGTGCAATCACGTCGAGATTCGATGAATCTCTCTAAGAGTTTGAAGACACCAGAGCATGGTGAATGCCAGGTCTTTTGTAAAATCCTCTTGAGACGATTTCTCCTCATCAACCAGATAGCTTGGGGCATGTTAGAAGTGAAGTTATTCGCAAGAATTGTCGTGCAACATGCAGCTTATCAGCAATAAACTTGGGGCATCCAAAATTAGTCCCAGGGGCAATCCAGATTTATCAAGATGTGTGATATGTTTTGCACACATCATCAGAGAGTGGTTTCCCAGTATCTCCAGCTAAGCATGACTTTTTCTAGCTGAAGCATTGTTCGTGTTGTTATCCTTTCAATGGATTGTTTGCAATAGAGGACTGGACTTTGGGTTTTCTACCTGAAAATATCTTCCTCTCCAAGGAGATTTAAGCCTTGTAAAAGGACTTTGCTCCAATGATGGCCTGTGTTCTATCTCCAGTAATGTTCCCATCTTGTTGAGATTAGCTGAGTGTTGGGTTTGTGCTGTGATGTCTTATCATCTTCTGTCTATCTCCCATGTCTGTTCTGTCAGCATATACATGACATTCATTTATTCATTCACACTTGCATCATGCACGCACAGTTGTATTTGTTGATGCCATTGAGTTCGTATACCTTGGTTGTGTCTATTCAAATAGCGTATTTGATCTTTCCAAATAGAATGTCAACTTAAGCAAAAAGTGCGCCTCCTTTCTAATTCCCCACTGAGTTAACTCTCGTGGAAGAATCTTGCTTTAGCTTTCCTTTTCCATCTCTGGATAGGATAAATCCCCATTTGAGTTGTCTCCTCATTGGTTGGAGTCTTGTTTGACTGTTTTCTCTCCAGTTCATTCCTGGATTGAGCTTTGTCTCTTGTGAATGATACCCTGTGGATATCTCTAGGCTGTGAAACCTAGATGGAGAGTGCATTTATTTTACAATGTAAATACTTGGTCTCCTCAATAAGGATTTATTCATTGTTCCCCATTGAAGATGAACTTTATTCCCCAACAGTGTTATCACAACCTTCTTCTGGAATATCGACATGACAACAAGCGACTGACTCTTTATTTGAGCAGTTTGATTATTTCTGATTTCTTTATGACAAATGGCGGTCTCTTCATGAGCAGTTTGTCCATCCCCGGTGAAATTATTGGCTCTCACCTCCAACAATATCTTCACGATATTTTATGGGTATCTTTTTGGGAAACAGCAAGCGGCAGTCTCTTCATGAGGCAACTTGTGTGTTATGGATACTCTTGACAAACAGCAAGCGGCGGTCTCTTCATGAGCAACTTGTGTGTTATGGATACTCTTGACAAACAGCAAGCGGCGGTCTCTTCATGAGCAACTTGTGTGTTATGGATACTCTTGACAAACATCAAGCGGCGGTCTCTTCATGAGCAACTTGTATGTTATTGTCACCTTTGAAAACATCAAGCGGCAGCCTCTTCATGAGCAGCTTGTATGTTATTGTCACCTTGGAAAACATCAAGTGGCGGTCTCTTCATGAGCAATTTGTATGTTATTGTCACCTTGGAAAACATCAAGTGGCGGTCTCTTCATGAGAAACTTGTATGTTATTGTCACCTTGGAAAACATCAAGTGGCGGTCTCTTCATGAGCAACTTGTATGTTATTGTTGTCTTTGAAAAAACAGCAAGCGGCGGTCTCTTCATGAGCAACTTGTGTGTTATTGTTGTCTTTGAAAAAACAGCAAGCGGCGGTCTCTTCATGAGCAACTTGTGTGTTATTGTTGTCTTTGAAAAATGGCAAGTGGAGGTCTCTTCATGAGCAACTTGTGTGTTATTGTTATCTTTGAAAATGGCAAGCGGCGGTCTCTTCATGAGCAACTTGTGTGTTATTGTTATCTTTTAAAAAAGACAGCAAGTGGCGGTCTCTTCATGAGCAGCTTGTGTGCTTTAATATTCTTTGAAGACAGCAAGTGGCGGTCTCTTCATGAGCAGCTTGTATGTTATTGACACCTTTGAAAGGAAGCAAGTGGCGGCCTCTTTATTTGAGCAGCTTGTGTATCCCCAACAATAATGTCTACTCAGCAAATGACATCTCTTTGAAAAGTCCCGTGGGGAAGTTTGTTATTTTATCCTTTTCAAGCGATATCTTGGTTAAAGAAGAAATGTGTTACCGTTCTTGGTAAAATTCAGAAATCAGAGATGTTTATCTCCAGCCACAGTGCTGATGTCAATCATTTTGTTTTCCAGCCACAGTGCTGATGTCAATCATTTTCCAGTCTCAGTACTGATGTCCATCATTTCCTTTTCCAGCCACAGTGTTGATGTCAATCATTTTGCTTTCCAGCCACAGTGCTGATGTAAATCATCTCTTTTCCAGTCTCAGTGCTGATGTCAATCATTTTGTTTTCCAGCCACAATACTGATGTCAATCATATGCTTTTCCAGTCTCAGGGTTGATGTCAATCATTTTCCAGTCACAGTACTGATGTAAATCATTACCTTTTCCAGTCTCAATACTGATGTAAATCATTCAAGAGTCTCTCATTTGAAGTCTATGACTTTGTTTCCCCAGTGGTGTTATAATCTGTTCCCCTGTAGGATTACTATAATATGTTTGGTTTCTTCAGCATAGTCTGTCTCATATGGCGTCATTCCCCATAAAATTCAGAGCATTACATTCATATCATATCATGAACATAATCGCGGTATCTTAAGGCCAAAAATTGTGTATTCTATATTTAAGTCCCTTCAATCTCGTCGAAATGAAGATCCCAATCTTCATATCTCCAGATAGAAGAAACTTAAATAGGGGCAGCTGTTGTACCCCAATTTTTGACCTAAGATCCCATATTTATTTTTGCATTTTTTTTATACAAAAGTCAAGGTCACTAAATACGGTCGGTTTTAACCTCTCACCTTCGAGCTTTGACTATGTGAAGATTGTCAAGTGTTTTGAACATTTTTAGCCTATGTATCACTAATTTCTAATCGCATACAAAGGTGTATGTTCATGTTTTCTTTTGCTTCATGTGCAGAGACAGGTCTGAATCAAGAGCATCAGGTGTCGCGCCTCAATTAAGGTTTTGATTCTCCCAAGCCAGAAGTACGGTTGATTGTGGGTTCTCGAAAACTGATTCATCAAGGCACAACCGTTGCACCCTTAATTTCGCCCCTAATATGTTTTAGTCGCACTTTCATATCATATTTTGTTATTTGGTCACGATCATTAGTAAATATCTTCATTCATCACATTTTGCATCATTAGTCGTATTTAAGTTGATCAGAAAAAGTCAGTTTAAATCAAAGTTTGCATCGTCTTTCAGTTGTAAAATACCCGGCATTTTGCTTCATGCATTTTTATCTATCTACTCATTTGTTGCATTGCTCCAAGTTGTTTATATGTCAATAATAAAAATATTTTGGTTTTATAGACAGACTGTTAAAAGCGATTCGACACTATGCGGGAAATTAGCGAGAAAATATTTCAAGTTTTCACCTTTTACCGGTCATTTTATGAATCTATGTTTCGCGTAGGTTATGACGGTATGCTCGCTTTATTTTTTCGATACAATTTGAAGTCTCGTTTTTAACCGTAAACATATGTTTTAGCCCGATATTTTCATTATCATTTTATTTTTGATTTTTGACTTCTTGAATATTTTTTATTTAATCTTCGTGACATGTAGTTTATTTTAATGTGTTCATTTTATTTTTTCGGATAAATTTTCGTCCGTTTTTATCATTTTCGGTCATTTTTGGGTCTTTATTTTTTATTCATAAAATATTCAAAAAAATAATTTTAAATTGAGTTATTTTTTATACTTTCAAGTTTTTATTTTTATTTTGTCATTAAAGGGCTTTTTAGTCACAAAAAATATTAAATATACTATGCTTGATTTTCATTGGTTGTTGGATGAAATTGAGGATCGATACAAAATTGCCAAAACAGAATTGAAGTTTTGAACGGATGTGATTGAATTTCATATTATATTTTTCTTTTTTTCACTTCCTATATAAAGCCTCTTATTATCTTTGCAAAAAAAAAGGAGGAGAATACACATACATTAGGTAGCTTTCTGCCTCATTTTCTCATGCCATTCATTTACTACCCAGACTTCATTTTGTTTCCTTTTCCTCACACACTAAAACAACACTTACAGTAACACTAACCCATTTTTTTCTTCATCCATTCCCACACCCTAAATGTTTCTCTCTCCACGAATCCTTCTTCCCTCATACTGCTTTACATTCTTCCAAATTTTCCCCATTAAAACCTTCATCCACTTATGTTATAACCAACAAGAAAAATCTAGGAACACATGCATATGATAAAGAGAAGGAGACTTCATTAGAACATATCTTTCTTTCTCATATATCACTCTTATCCTTTTTTACATATCACAGAATAAAACCAACAAAAATAAAACAAAAGAAAAACGCAAAAGCTGCGTAGAACAACATCTTCTAATCTCCTTCTTCTCTTCATTTTCCTTCACGGAGACACCAACCGAACCCACCATCCAATCTCTCTTCTCTCCGGCGCTATCCGTCTGCCCTTAACCTCCTCGTCAAACAACCCACCAGCCACCACCTACCTGCGTTCGCGATGGTAATATCCTCTATCAACTTCTGCAATCTCCTCGCGACTTCCATCACCATCAGCATTTCCCAACAACACAGATCCAACCATTTTCTCTTCAATATCCAACAACACTCCAACCCAGCTCACAAGTCTCACCATTAAACAGCCAACCGAGCCTCTCTCTTCCGCTCCAACTTCCTTCAACAATAACCTACGACTTCTAAGAGCCAACATTCAAAGAAGTCAAATTCTGAGAACACCATTATCACTGTTTTGTTTGCTTTTTTATTTGTGGTGTTTTATTTTATAGGAAAAGTAGAAATCAGAGAAAGAAGAACATTGATGGTGATCTCTCTGTGCATCCAACACCTCCGTTCCGACGAACCCAACAACAGCGCCTTACTCCACCCATCCATTCCAACTACGCGACCCAGACTGCCAGCAACCCGAGTCCACACGAATAACCCAACCGGACTACCTTTGACCGACGTATCCTTCGATCTGCACCACCGCACAATGCAGCTTCCTCTGTTTACGACTTAGAGAAGCCAAACGGGCTCGCCGCCATCAGAGACATCCAAACCACGCGGCCGCCGTCGGCCTTCAGATTCACCGCTGTTGAAATGCTCGAATCTCATGTGTTAGATTTTCTTACTTTTCACCCTGTTGACTTTTGTGTTGGGATGTTGTGTTTGTGTGCTTTTTCTTTGCTTCATATGTTTTTATTTTGACTCCAAGTTTGAGATGGAGAAAAGAAAGATAGGCTAGATCGAAAATAGAGAGAAAGACATTAATGTTTGTTCTGATAGTATGGTTTTGATTGTTTTTGTTTTCTTTTAGTTGGCATGTGTTAATTTCCCATAAGTGGGTTAAACTTGTGGTCTTTACAAAAATTGCTTCTAAAGAAAATTGCAATCTTATGTAAAAAAAATATTAGTAAATCTTATATTTAGATTTAGTTTAGTATTAATTTAGAATTTTTTAATTAGTTTAGATTTATTTTATAACTTTAAAATATTTAGAATCATAATTAATAACTTTAGAATTTTATTTTGTTTTAGTTTTATTTTATAACTTTAGAATTTTATTTCATTTAGTAAGTTTTAGAATTTTTATTTGTTTTAGTTTAGTTTAATAATTTTAGAATTTTATTTAATTTTATTTAGTTAACTTTAGAATTTTATTTGTTTAGTTTTAGTTTAGTGACTTTAGAATTTTTATTTGATTTAGAATTAGTTTAATAAATTTATAATTTTTATTTGATTTAGAATTAGTTTAATAAGTTTATAATTTTTATTTAGTTTAATAACTTTAGAGTTTTTATTTGATTTAAATTTAGTTTAGTAGTTTTAGAATTTTATTTGATTTAGATTTAGTTTAGTAACTTTGGAATTTTCATTTGTTTTAGATTTAATTTAGTAACCTTAGGATTTTAATTTAATCTAGATTTAACTTACTAAATTTTAAAACTTTAGTTTAGTTTAGATCAAATTCAATAATACTAGATTTTTTTTTATAACCTTAGAATGTGTAATTAGTTTAGAATTATTTTAGTAAGTAATTTTTAATTTAGTTCGAATAATTTCTTTAGATAATTAGTTATATTCCTTTTATTTGTATATTTCTGTCATTTCAATTTCTCGGTGCCTCTTGATCATTAATTTGTTTTTGTCAGATTTATTTTCTTGTGAACTTCTGAATGTTTATATTTTGATGTTCATTTTATCTTGCTTACTCCAAGGAAACGATTTAAATTTTGTTGACTTCACGTCATCAAACACATCTCATCCAATCGTGCGAATACCCTTATTTTTTTTGTTTGTTTACTATTTTGCTAAACTCAAGATAATTTTCCCAAAAGACTCCATTTTCAAACTCACACCTTTTAAGTCAAAACTTCGACACTAGGTCGTCGTATCTCCAAAAATCTCGTCCATACCCATCTTTTAGCCAAACGAATCATTTTAATCAAACAAACAATTTTAAACCAAAAAAACAGATATTTCAAAAGGTTCCTGTGGAGTACCGCAGATGCATTGGGTGCTAATACCTTCCCACTGTATAACCAACCCCCGAACTCTCGATCTCTTTCAAAAAACGCATTGTATTTTTATTACTTTTAAGTATTATTTTACATTGCATATTTTAGGGTTTTATTTCGCTCTTTTCCCTTTTCCCTTGGAAATAATAAAGCGCGGTGGCGACTCTTGCTTTTGTGAGTCAAGTTAATTAATAGCTTGATCTCCGATTTTCACCGCTACAGCAACAATCTCACACAAGATTACAAACATAAGGTTCATAGGTTCAACATCACGAGCATGAGGTTGAAGGTACTACCCATAAGATATGATCTAAACATTTATCACCTGCCGATCAAGGTTCTAAGAGGTTCCCAAAGTCTACATCCTTCTTTCGAATATTACCAACTTCCCTATTGACTCGGTAATTAGCAATATTCTCAAGAAAAATTTGTTCGAGCATAGTATCGCATGACAACTTTTTCCCGATTACTCCGTCATAGCTTCCGCACTACATCTAAAACACCAAAATTGGTTAAAGGTTCTACGATCCTCAGTTTTCGCTGGCTCCCAGGCCGAAAGCAACATGTCTTCCCGATTACTCGGTAAAAGACACTACAGTCAAAGGGGCCTCCCCTGAGTGGGGGATCTCATGCCTCCTTTTTTGGGATTACTCCCTCAAAGTTAACATGGCTATATCGCCCGTCCTATCTTAAGATTGCCCAAGTCTGGGTATAGAACTTATGAGAAATCACCAAGCATCCTGAAAACCAGGAAAATCCAGACAGACATATATACAGCATATAAGATACAACACATAATAGCACTGTTGTACCCCAAAATTGCCCTCCCATATTCCTCAAGATTTGTCAAGAATGATCTTCAAGTTGCTCAAGTTGGCTCAAGGATTGGACAGTCAAATCACCTCCTAAGGCAGTCATTTCAAAATTAGGGTTTTGTGCTGCATCAAGGTCCTCACATCCAAATGACCTCAAGTGTTCCCCAATTTCATAATATGTTATCAAGTTCATCCATGTCAAATTTCAAGCCTTGCAGGGAAAGTTTGGTCAGTCAATTGCTCAAGAGACCCAAAAATTGACTGTGTTAGGGCAAAAGTCAACTGTGTGCCAAATACAGTCAAACCTCAAGATTTTTTTTCAACATTCTCATTTTTAAGGATAATTCATCATTTGATCAAGGGTTGATCATGATTCATCAAAGATTGCTCAAGATTCATCAAGATTCAAAAGTTGCTAAATTAGGGTTTTGTAGGAAAAGTCAACTCAACTTTGATCAAGCATAACTTTCTCATACTTTAAGAGAAATGACCCATCCAAAGCTCATTTTGAAGAGTATGCAATTTCCTACAATCCATCTTCACACCCCAAGATCAATAAATGCACTCATAAAAAGTTACAAATTTGGACATTATAGGTCATTTTTGAAAGTCAACAAAAACACTTGTTTTGCCAAAGCTTATAACTTGAGAATGGAAGATTAAAATGAGATAATACCAAAAGGGTTTATTAAAGGACATCTCAAGGTTTCTAAAACGTCCAATAACACCTCCAAAAGTTCAAAATTGAGAAAGTTATGCATGGTTGAAGTTGGGCATTTTTCCAAAATTGCCAAAAGTCAACTATCCTCAAAACTCCAATTTTTGACAAAATGGACCACTTTTTTCCACTTGATTTGGTCTTATCACACCACACATGTGTCCCATCTTTAATTTCATGACCAAACATTTATTTTTCTATTTTATTTAATTTTTATTGATTTAATTCATTTTAAATCTATATTAATTCAAATAAAATCCAAAAATTAATGAAATGGTATCTTTGTGATTTGTACAGCTTGCAAATATCATATAACACCTAGTCAATTCGTATCAAGTGAATTCAAGCACAAAAAATCAGATTTGGCCTATTTTTGGAAAGCTTTTCAATGGTGATCAAATCCAATATTCCCTCTTCAACGCACATGGATATTGGTCCAAATTTTGACCTAAACTGATTCCATTATATGCACACAATCCACACAAACCTAGAACACGCATAGAAATCTGCAGAAACGGCCACACAACTTTGAGAAAAAAGCTTGAAAAGTGAGAGATCAAAAACGACATTCGAGGCATCTTCCAACCAAAAGCTCAACACAGCTCTCTTCCTTGACATCCAGTGAAGCTATACCAAGTGAAACCAAGCCTTTTCGTTGCCTAAAACGCCCTGTAAGTCTCCACAAACATTGCTCTGGACATGGAGTCGTAATTCAGTTTTCTTGCGTCCTTTTGCCAAATTTCTTGCATATTCATACTGACCATTAAATTTCCAAGCATTCTGCATTATTTAATTTCATTCTTGTGGCTTCTAACCCCGTATCCAGAACCTAGGGTTCTTGTTCTTGTTTTTAGGCATTTTTTATGCAGGTTAAATTAAGGCCAATGATGGGTATAGGATTGATCAGGGGGGAGAGACGAACACATTGATGTTCTCCATTTGCATTTATACAGCCTGTAACTCATGTTTGGATGGCCCCTGCGAATTTTGCTACGGATCTAAATCCGCATGAAACAAACCAGGGAATGATGAAGAAGACGACTACGTGTCCTCTTCCTATTGGCTGGTTTAAACCAGCGCGCCATATATTTTTTTATTTCAGGAATAAGGCATTGTTTTGTATATAATATTTAACTTCTATTCCACTAACGAATGAACACGCTAGTTGAGTTGGCAAGCAGATGGATGAAAAACCAATGGGACCTGGGTTCGAATCCCAGGTCCCCCAAAACATTATTCAATTTTGTTTTCAGGTGTTCCCATATAGCGCCTAGAATGCAGACCACCATGCGCCTCAACTATCAATGTGCCAAGTGGTCCCAGATCTAGATCCAGTGGTTCAGGATGGAGGCTCACCATACTCCTTGGTCAACATGCGCATATGGAATCTGAAAAAAGTCCAACATGCTGGACGTTTGGGCCCCAAGAATTGCTCTTTTCACTACCAAATTGGGCCTAGCACCCCCCTGAGTTTGCTTTTTTTTAATATTATTTCTTTCTTTATTTTCTTATTTTACTTATAATTATTTATTTGTTATTTTAATTACTAAACCAATAATTTATTTTTCTCAATAAAACCAAAACCATAAAAAATATTATTTTCATCATTACTTTTATTATTTATTTTTGTAAATAAACACTTAATTTATTTAGTAAATAA